TTCGGTGACAAACAGCAAGATCAACAGTGCATTTGGATAGCAACAGAAAAATAATAAACAATAACACTACACAGTAAAATAAGATAAAGTAAAATAACATAAAGTAAAATGTCATAAGAAGGAGCTGTATTCAAAACTCAGTTTCAAATAGGAAAAGGATAACAAAATGCCATTACCAGCGTACTCTATTAAAGGAAGAAAGAATTCTGTGCAGCAGTTCCTACATGAAATATTGAAGAAAATTGGTAGTAGCACAACATCTTAACAGCCCAGGGTGTGATCTGCACAGAAAACATGGATGAATGTGATTATACAGATTGGTATGGCATTCAACAACATCCTCTTGTTAAGCATGGGATGGAAGTGGGAGTAAGATGTGATTGGAGGCCTAGAAGGAGGAGAATAACTAGATAATTGGCTGTAGATAATTCAACAACTATTCTGAGCAATAGCCATAGCATAGTTATTCATGAGCAGCTAGGTTCTAGTGCAAGGGTGGCAACTGTCAGATAAGGCTGCCCACTGGAGGAATCCCAACCCCCTTTTTAGCCACTAGCACCCCCCAAATTATACAGAATGAAATTTCTTGCAATGGAAAATGAAACGGAATGTGTGATTTATGCCTCCAGTAAACTTATTCTCCTGTTAAAATGTGTAAATGGTTTCCCACCCATCCCCACATCAAGAGTAGAAAAAAATAGCCAAAACTCCTACCTAATCAATATGTCATTGCCCACTGTAGCCACTGATGGGCAAAAGAATGAGAAAAAATTGCATTATTGGTTGCAAAAAGATAGGCAGTGTTCATTTACAGCCCTAATGTCAAAGATAAGAGCTGGAGGGTTACATGGAAATAACTCCATTAATCCTTAGCTTCTGTTCACCTCCCAGGTGTTCTAGTATGCATTAAAAGGTAGGAGATAATAGATCTCAAGCAATCAATGGGGGGGGGGGGGGGGAACCCTTTGAAATGATTACATTTGAAAAGATTTTCCTTTTCTTTCAGAGCATGTAACTGGTTCCTGTCTGGAGTCTTCAATCCTCAAGGAATTAGTTAGGATGTTAAAAGACATACAGTATTTTGAAAGTTCAACTAAGTTGTAAAATTAGGGATGAAAATTGTATTGTCTGACTATAAGTATCTTATAATGTTTTAATGGATATTTTAAATATATTTTTCTCTTTTGTCAAATTGGGAGGCTGGTTGTTAATGATACATGATAGCCAACATGATTCTTATCAAAAATTGGGATTTATAGTTTATCTATAAATATCTATAACAACTTAGGCATCTACTTCTCTAACCAATATCAAGTCAATATATTAGGAAATGCTAAGGAAATAGTGCCTAACTGCAGCTTAATTCATAAAAAAGCATAATTTCTTTCTATAACTATGTACATTTTTAGTTATCATATGGATAGACAGGCCATTCCCAATCTTGGATCTCTAGATATTGTTGGATGACTATTTTCATCATCCAAGATCTGGATAGTTGCTTTGAATGATGGGGACCCATGGAGAAAATTGGCATAGAGAGAGAAGTAGTATTCTAGTTATTGTCAAAAAAAATCATTCATGTACACTCTCTCTCTCTCTCTTTCCAATGTATGCTACCTGGGAATATCTTCCATAGAGTTCAGTAGGGCTTACTGCAGTATAAATGTCTATAGAGTGGCAGCCTAAGGCCATTATCCTAGCTCCGTATGCCTGGCAGTATAGCTCATTGCTGAACAGCAGATAGCTTTTTCATTCACTTCCATTTCACCTAATTTCTATAAAATTAGTAACACTTAAAATGTTTATTTCATTTTCAACGGTCATTACACATAGATATTTAGTGTCATATTACTGCTTTATATTGCTGAATTTCCATTCCCCCAATCTTCTACATTATGGTACCTCCATAAGTATTGTCATTACAACCCCCAGAATTCCTGAGAACTGTGGTCCCCAAACTTCTAGAGAACACCAGGTAGAGGAAGTCTGTCCAAATTTTATCTTCATGGGTTCCTTCTACATTCATTCATTTCTCTGCTTTGCTTTCATATTTCTGATTATTGCTAGGCTTTTTCCCCTGTAGATTACTTAGATGCCAAGAAGCAAATTCACATTAAAGAAGTTTCTCCTAAAGAGGTTCTTAAACTTTGTTTTTGTACTATATATGAATAGAGTTCCTTCCTACAGATTTTGAAGAAAACTGGAACTCTCAAGATAATACCTTATTAAAATTATCCGCAACTTCTGTATGACTCTCAAATAGCATGTTTCACAAAAGTCTATAACTTTGCTTTTTTAAAAATAAACTTATCAGCTGAATGTGCCTGTCACCTTTATAAGCTCAGAAAGAAGATAAGCAGATAACCTCATCTTTTCAGTGTCTTAAATAAATAGGAGCATAATGAAATTATATTATTAACAAGTTATTAAACCAATGGAGCTTTTTGGTGTTGGACAAGACTTTGCTACATTACAAAATTTCCATTAGTTCATCTTGACCAGTGAACAGTGGGTATGGAAGGAACATGGTAGCATTGTTTTTTATTTTTTTTTAATAATCCAACCATTAGGAATGTCCTGTGTTCTCCAGATAATGTCAGTCTTTGGTCTTCATGAAGACATTCCATAAGAGATTCTGCACTTTTTCCAGTGGGGTGCTGTTATTGTCCTATGCCTTGTTGTAGAAAAGCTTTATTCAGAAATGAATGTCAGAACATTAAAAGAGCCCTACTTAGCTCAGTTTGCTATTCTCACAGTGGCCTATCAGATATTGATAGGAATCCCACAAGCAGGACACAAATCCAAGATTGCCATTTTATTAATATTCTTCAGCAGCTGGCATATAAAAGTACTGTGATATTTCAAGTAACACATATGACTAGCTGTTGTTCATAGCCTTTTATATTTTATCCTCCATGAATTCATTTAATCTCCTTTCAGAGCTATTGAACTCACAATCATTACACTGAATCTTGAGATAGCAAATTCTATAGTTTGCCTGTATGCTGCTTTCTTTTATTTCTCGGGATTTTCCACATTTCAGCCTGAATGAATAAAAGTAATTTTCCTTATGAAAGCAACTTTCCAAAAACAGATGAGAAAGATGTTGGAATTCAGCGTACTTCAACCCAGGAAAATAAAGTAAATTAAAGAAATTCAGAGCATTTTCTGCTAAGTTACTTCTAGAAAAGCCTCTTCAGAGGAAAAGGGGGTTCTACTGAACAATACAGGATGGAGCAAAGGAATTGTTGGAGTGGTGAGCATTGTCCAAATTTGGAAAATCTAAGGAAATTTGTCCTGAATAAAGAAGAATGGAGCAAGCAAGGAATCAGGGATTTGAGAAAGTACACAGCAATGAAGCTCAGGAGAGGAAGATCAGGTGAGGCGGAGGCTGCTAAGTTGAGAGGGAGGAAACTGAGATGGGAATAAAGATGGAGAAATAATGAGTGCCCTGGAACTACAGAGATGAAGAATGAGAAAAATTACATGTTGGTTTGAAATAACCATTTAAATCTTTTGACAGCAGATATCCATGTTGTCTGTATTCACAGTTTTAATGAGATCAGTCATCAGTAATTAGTCACATTGATACAAACAACCAGCATCAGATTTAGAGACCCAGGGCAAAATGGTTCCTTAGGGGTCATGGAGTGATTATGACTACAGCAACAGCGCTTGAAATAATAACTACCCAAATGTCATATGTAGTGTTGCTTTAGCACATTCTGAGAAATGTAAATGGCGGTGGTAGTGAGGGTGGTTTCAAAGCACAGTGAGGAAGGCCTGGAGCAGGTTTGTGGCAATGCTGGCTTTGGTAAGGAATGACAGTACTTCATGTCAATAATAATAGGCCTGTTGACATTTTCTTACATATAACTATATAGTTAGGTATCCACACATCAGATTGTTCAGGATGATAGAATCATTAAGAATAATGTTGGAATGTAAAACTGATCTGTAACTCATTGAATTAATAGCAGACTGATTCTTTTAGTTAATAATGAAATTAGCAGGAACTACCAAGTATCCATTGCTACTTCTAGGACAAATTTTATAATTGCTTAATTCATATGATAAGGCCATTATATCACCAACTGCAGTATTTAGGACAGTCTTCCATGATGGCTTTGAATCATGTAAATTGTAGTTAAAAGAATCTGGAGAGTATCAGGAAGAGGATTTAGAAAATGATGGGTTTTGAAGAGATATACCTAAGCAATTATATCACAGGCTCTGTTTCACTCATACCACTGAGCTTTTTTCTTCCACCTCTGTATCCAGTTAAAAATATGAATCTGCTGTGTATATAATTTGTGATTGGGGAGAATTATTTAGGGAACAGATTGAACATCCCCTTTGGCCTGGCTACATAAAAACCAAATGTAAGAAGCAATATTGGCATAGGATCTGATGAACTGTAAATAAATGCTAGTGCTTATTACAGTCTCAACATTCAAAAAGCACCTATTTTTCTCCACAGGGCTTGCTTTGTTTTAAGCCTTGTAAAAAGCCAATGAAATGATGTATTGAATTCCCAGTCCATCATTTCAGAAAACTTGCATACACAATCAAAACTTTTGCTAGCATTATTTCTCTGTTGTATCATTTGTGGCCTTTTGTAAACATCTATGCAAAGCTGCGTGAAGTATTCTATAAGATGTATGTGCAAGAATCCATGTTACCCTTGTTGTTTTTCCTGTACAATATGTGTATTTGCTTCATTGGAACATTTGAAATCAATAAAGTACTGAAAGGTCTCTTAACTTTTCACTTTGACTGTTTTTTTTTCTTCAACCATGAAATATACTGATAAATAAAACACTTTGGATATGTAAAATTTCCTTCAAAATTTCATCTTAATATCAACAGCATCCAACATTTATTAAAATCCAATGTAATTCACAAATATACAGTATATGTCTGCAAAGTCAGTGAGAAAAAGATGTCTTTTAATGGAAACAAATATTGTGTCTCTCATCGGAAGAACATCTTAGAAGAAATCGCCACATACTTTTCTTCTATCATTACTCTAAAACGTGTAGCTGTTCCTCTGAAAAAGTGGATATGCGGATACTATCAACCGGGATCTTTATCCAGTATGGAGTTCTGGGCCTCAGGCTGCCCATCTCTCTTTTAAAGTATGGCTAAACCAACCATGGCTTAGCACAATGTATTACCCCAGCTACCCCAGCTAGGATGAGGGAGCTCCTGGCCTCTCCATCTCTGCAATTTTCTCTGCCTGTCTTCTGTGTAAGCTCCTTGCCACTGCCTCATGTTTCAGGAATCCAATTCTGGTGATACGCTGGATCCACTGATCACCAGAAAATATTCGTTTTCCATAGACCAGGGGCTTTGATCCAGCTTTGTCAGCAATTTTGGGTATATTCAAACATTGTCTGAAGCTCTTCCTTGTGTGGCATGGTACTACTCAGAAAAAGGAAATGCCCTGGTTAGAAAGAATTGTAAATATTAATCATGCACACACATTTGGGTGGGGAGTAGTGTCAAGACTTTAGATACACAGTGATAAGAAAGTGTAGTGTTAGCATCTTTTGTAAAGATTTCTTATTTTTCTTATCGAACTGGCTGACAGGCACCAGTTGCTTGTAGAGACATGACAAGGTAACATAACTGTATATGTAAACCTAAATTAGGGCGTGGCATGAGGAGTTTCCCATTCCTATTGGCTGCCCTGCTTTTGCTCCAGATTGCATCTGGTTTCACTCCAAGGACAGGAAGGGATAATTGGGCTGATGCTACACCAAAGCTTGGAACCTGTAGCTGCATGCATTTTGTGGCAAGGCAGATGCCAGCAGAAGGTCCTAATTTCAGTGTGTGTGAATGTAAGAAAGGGTGTCAGGCAATTTTTCTTTTTTTCAAATGAGAGACCTGGATGGAGAAAATGCAGTTGAAGTCCCAACAAATCAGTTCATTGTCCTGCAGGAAATAAAACAAAATAGGGCTACTTTGCATTTCCTTTGCTATCATTTACTGTAACAGATTATCGCGCCCACACACTTCATATATAACTAAAACTATCATTTATGAGGAGGCATTACAAGCAAGGCCAGCCCTATAACTTAACAGTGAGGTTTGTTTGCTCAGGTCATTGTGTGGCGGGGGGGGGGGGGGGGGGGGGGGT